GCTTCTTTGAAATTTAGATTCTTAGGTCCAGCTCCTGGAGGCTCAGCTAGCAGTTGGGTAGGGGCTCCAGCAGCGGTGGTAGATGTCTCATAAAGGGCCGTCTACCCCAAATGAGAACGTGTCTGTATATCATATAGAGAGATTATTGTAAGTTATGCCGATACAAAAGATGTGTGGCGCGCTGTGTTAATTTGCTCCGGCTGCCATGACAAAGTACGACAGATGAGGTGGCTTAAACAATGGACATGGATTTCCTCACAGTCCTGGAGTCAGAAGTTCAAGATCAAGGTTTCCACAGGGTTGGTTTCTTCTAAGGTCTCTCACCTTGACTTGTAGATGGCTGTCTTCTCCCTAAAACCTTCACTCGGTCCTTCTGGGGGGGTGTCTGTGTTTTCAGCTCCTCTTTACAGAAGGGAAACAGTCAGATGGGATTAGAGCCCACTCTCATCACCTCATTTCACCTCATCTATGGCCTCCTTAAAGACCTACCTCCAAATAGAGTCACATTCTAAAGTTTAGTTACTTATTGAGAGGTGGGCGGAGAGGGGCAGACAGAGAGGGAGAGAGAGAATCCCAAGCAGGCTCCACGCTATCAGCACAGAGCCGCACGCAGGGCTTGATCTCCCGACCGTGAGATCATGACCTGAGCTGAAATCGAGAGGGGGATGCTTAACCGACTGAGCCACCCAGGTTCCCCTAGAGTCACATTTAAAAACAAAGTACTGGGGTTAGGACTTCACCACATGAATTTGGGGGGTTCAGCCCATAACACACCAAATAATTCCAAATTATTGGAATTCCAATAATTCCAAACAAAGTCCAAATAACAATGAAATCAACATTACGCCTTATTATTAATTCCACATACAGCCCATTGACTCTCACTGATGTTTGCCAAACTCTAGTACCTGTAGCCAACCTGTGGTTTCCGTTGACCAATGAGTGTAGTCCGGACATGAATATTGGGTGATATTTTTGTCCACACGAATGAGTAATAAGGATGTGAAACCAGAACGATGCATGTCAGAACTTCACTCCATTGTCAATGACGTGAGCAACGTTTTTGCTGCATCAGGTGACAGTTTTCAAGTGCTATTTACAACGTAACGGCACAGACATGACACGTTTTTAAGTTGAACGTGCACTTGTGACATTATCTCCACCAATTTCTTAAGCCCAGACAGTCAACAAAAATGCCAGAGCAAGCCCTGACCTGTAGTAACTACCAACTTCTGGAGTGAATATACTTCAGCCACAGTTGACTAGCCCCCGGCCTGAAGCCCCTGAACGTGAGCTTGGCAGACGATGGGCCTTGGCGTAGCAGCACGTTCCCGCCATATGAGCACAGCAGGTGCAAGCATCTTCAAGAGTTCGGGTAATTGTGAAGTGTAGTAAGGCAATCAGGAAGTGGTGAACTTTGAGTACGCGTTACTTTTGCTCTTAACGTAATTCATTTACTTGGCGCCTGAAGTGATTCAACCCTTAACAGTAACCGTGTCTGACAACCGGCTCGAAAATTTCACAAATGGCTCTTGGAAGCCAGTGCAGACTCAGGGCGGGAATCAAAACATTTTTAAAGCTGCTGCCGATTGCCAGAGTTTGGGACACCCAGCCTCTCCATGTCACAGGTGAGGAGAGTCTAGTCTGGCACAGTGGGGGGCGCCTGGGTGGTTCGGTGGGTTGAGCGTCCGACTTCGACTCAGGTCATGAGCGCTTGGTTCATGGGTCCCAGTCCGCATCAGGCTCTCTGCTGTCAGCGCAGAGCCCGCTTTAGATCCTCTGTCCCCCTCTCTCTCTGCCCCTCTCCCTCTCCCCCTTCCCCTCCTCTCTCTCAAAAATAAATAAACCGTGAAAAAAAAAATAGCAAAGTAACGTCGCTTGGGCGAGACTAAGCACACGGCTGGTTACTGGCCTCCACGGATGAGAGCTCGGATGTCAGGACCGCCAGCTTAGCACAATGTCTGCGGGCCAACGGCCTGTCTCTAAAATGTGCCTCGTGTACCCCCAAAGTACGATGAGGGAAGGCACAAATGGAAAGATGCACGTGGTCAGGTAGAGAGAGAAAGGGGAAGAGAGAGGGGAGTGATCACCGTGGAGGTAGGGCATCCCAGACAGGGGACCGTCTCGGAATTAGAAACAGATGCATTTAAGGAGGAAGGCAGATAATGCCCTAGTGCTCGAGGAGAAAGACAACTGAGAGGAAAAAACCGATTAACCCGGAGGAGGAGGCCAGCGATCTCTTCGGGTGCGATGTCTGTATGGGAGTGAACGCAGGCAGTGGGTTACGGAGTTTAAAAACAGGACGAGAGCGGGGCCTGGGTGCTCCGGCGGTTAAGCACGCAACTCTTTTTTCTTTTTTAAGTTGATTTATTTATTTTGAGAGACACGGAGAGAGCGCGCGCGGGGGCGGGACAGAGAGAGAGGTGAGAGAGAATCCCAAGCAGGCTCCGTGCTGTCAGTGCAAGCCCGATGCGAAGCTCGACCCCACGAACCACGAGATCGTGACCTGAGCCGAAACCAAGGGTCTGTGAAGCATCCAACTCTTGATTTCGGCTCAGGTCATGACGTGACGGTTCATCCACACCCTTCAATGCATCCGGCTCTAATGTCAGCCTCTCCCCTGCTCGGACCAGGAACGACTCCGGCTCCCCTCTGCAAGATCAACATCCCTGCCCGAGAGTTTCGTGAACCCTCTCTCCCCCACTTGACTCCTCAGACCCCCGCCCATTTTCCGAGATCCTGCCACTGTCATCTCCATGCTTTGGGTTGGGGAGGGGGACTTAAAACATTACTATGTGACATTTAATACGTTCAAAGGCATAAAGAAAATCAAAAACACCAGTGTTCCCACTGCCCAGCTTGCAGAGTGAACCGTCAAATGGGTCCAACCCATTTGAAATCTGACGGGACCCCAGTCGCATCCCCGGCCTGACCGGCTCCCACTCGGAGGCAACGTCCAACTCAATTTGGAGATTATCGCTCTTCCTTATCCCTTTCCACCGCCCTACATACACCTGTCTCCCCGAGCAACACAGCACCTTAACCGGCACGTTCGACACCTTTTCATACCGCATACATTCTACAACTTTCATCCTTTTTCACTATTTTTTTTTCTTGTCTCTCTCATGGCTTATCTTAGGCAGTGATTGAAAGCGCAGGCTTGGGCGTCGGATAACGTGGGCTCAAATTCTATCTCTACCACTTACTTTGGGCAAGATACGTTACGTCTCTGTGGCTCAGTTTTCTCATTTATGAGACAGAGGCAACGCCCTGCTCACGGCCGGGGCCGCCCGGACTCAGTAAGACATCCCTCGCCCAGGCTGGGAGCCGTCCTCCATGGAAAAGTGCTCTCTAATTATTGACTCATCATTTTTCCATCCACATGACGGTCAGGAAAACCATGCTGAGAAGGAAGGTCCGAACCACAACCGGTGCCCAGAACTGTTGGGCAAAAGGTCAAAGCCACGACATCCCGTGTTTTCTGTGTGCGTTACAACGAAAATCAATTAAAACAACCATAGGTAGCATCCGTCTATTAAATTAAGGCGTGGTTATCTATTATCTATCCCATTTATATAAATCATTTGATTCTTTCTTGGGCCATTCACCTTTGGGAGACTTTTTTTTTTTTAAGTTTATTTATTTATTTATCTATTTATTAGTAATCTCTACACACAACTTGGGGTTCAAACTCACGACCCTGAGATCAAGAGTCTCATGCTCTTTTAACTGAACCATCGGGCATCCCTCAGGGAAACTTATTTTACCTAAAAAAAAAAAAAGATTTTCAATTTGCAGGCCCCTACGGACAGAACATTGTTGGTACATGACCAGAGTGACTTCCAAGGCAAATAAAGTGTTAACGAGGCTGTGATTAATGATGACGCCATATGCCATCACCTCATCACCAGTAATCTCAGCCAGTCCCTGTGCCTTCTGGATTTTCTTGGCCGGCAGACTTGGCCCGGGTTGGTCAGAATGTTCCCTGTCGACTTCAGCAAGTGTGGGAGTAAAACATAATCAATTCCAAAAGGGGATTTGAAGATGGCCATTGAATTAGCTCGATTGATATTTTTTCCAATGCCTCCTTAGATATCGGGACACACAATCCAGTGTAAAATGCCAATCGCTTCCAATCGGGTGCTATTTTGGATTGCCCAATATTAGATCAAAACATGTGTTTATCTTTATGATGTGTATTTGCTACTATTTTCCAATACAAAATAAATTAGTCAGGTGTTCAAATGGAAATGGAAATTGCCACGGCAGTTTTTCTGACTTTGGAAAGAGTGAGTTTTGACTTTTCTTCTTGTTAGTGGTTTCCATCAGCATCACAAATGAATCATTCTCCAGGAGAGGTTACCCCATTGAGAAAGAATCTGATTTCCTGCCCCTTTCTGGCGGGAGGGTAATGGGTCCCTTAACTGTGAGAGTAATTTTGGGAAACTAACAGACCATGAATCATGGCGGCCTGAAGTCTGTCCCCTATCACAGGCAAAGAAGCTTGGCTATAGTCAAGCTTTTTCCAGCTTGGGCCAGTGCCTTCACCAACACACTCCGCAAAATTTATTGTCAAGTACATAATGGGTCCAACTTGTTCCCTAAATACTGGAATGAAGTAATTCATTATCAAAACCAGACTCAACATCTAGAAAAAGAAGTAAAGTTATCTCCTGTGACAGTAAAACGCTACCAACTTCAGTAATGGTGACGGCACAGCATCATCTTACAACTTCTAAACAAGTCTCATCTTACTAAGAAGCTGGTCCTCATGAGATCCCTTCTGGCTAGAATTAAATACCACTTCCTCTATGGCCTTGTGCAATAAAAATTCCTCCTCCCTCCTTGATTCCTGGAGCGATCTGTAAATTGAGGCTCGTCCTGTCTTCCCTATTTGGTTCTGTTTTTAATTATCAAGAGGTTTTCTAGATTCCTCCCCGCACAAACCTCAGATTGCCCTGTGTGTTCACCTACCCAACAGGACAGAAAAACCTACTTACTTCTCAGAGCGTATTCTTTGGGCTCCACTGAATTCAAGTCGGAAAGGAATTCGTCAGTGTCCTGCATGCATTTGAGAGAAACGTTTCCTGTGGGGAGCGCAAAAGGTAACTGCAATTGAAAAGACAGAAAACAAAAGAACAAAGTCAGGACCATCATTGTCCCTTAACCTGTCAGGATAACACTCCCCTCCTAGACAAGGAAGCTTGTATTTATAAAACACTCGTCTATAATATGTTGGGGGGGAAATGTGACATTGCTCCGTCCTTAACACGCACAGACAAGTTGTGTGTCCTCAGCCACCTGCAAAGCAGCGGAGATGAGCAAACCATGGAAACCGATTTATACACAACTTGTTACTGTTCACTAAACTCGCACTGTGGATATGGGGGCCGCTGAGCACCTGGCTTCCTTTAGCTACGCAGATTAACATTGCCAGCTAACACGGATATGCTAGATTTTCCCTGGCTAGATGGTCTTGTGTGTTTCTCTGGGTTTAAAAAATTTACCGAGGATGTTAAGTGGCAGTATGTGGTTTTTTTCCAAGAACGATTGTGAACCCAACCTATAAAACACTCGGATAAATCAGAAGCCAGCAAGGGCTTCCTCGTGATGGTCTGGACACCCTATATGTCCGGGGATGGGTCTGCCGGACTTGAAAGCGATGTGGGAGGGGGAGTGATGAACTCCCCCGCGGAAGGAGACGGCGTTACTGGGGGACGAGTAAGTTCCTGCACCCTCATGTGGGGGCTTAGAGCACACATCCTGGGAAGGACATTATGCCGACAGGAGACCACGGTAGGGCTACTCACCTACTTGAAGAACGCGTCAAATGCGTGGCCCTGGATTTCTCGTGGTGTAAATATCCTCTTTCCAGAGAGCCTTTCTTTAGATAGTAATCTCCCGAACTGCATTTCAAACGTGAAGCAAACCTCGTTTCACACCTGTGGGTGGCTGTGACTTGCTTGTACTTCCTGCTCAGTGGCCCCACGGAAGCCTCTAGCATCTCAGAGCTCTACCCTTCGTCTGAGTCCACTGCAGCTGCTGTCACAAAACACCACGGACTGGGGGAACAACAGAAATCCACTTCTCACACTTCCGCAGGCTGGGAAGTCCAAGATCGAGACCCCAACGTGGTCGCATTCCAGCGAAGGCCCCTTCCGGGGCGGTCGCCCCCAGAGCCTTCTCCCTGCGCCCTCGCATCTCTTCTATAAAGATGCAAATTCCATTCATGAAGGCGCCATCCTCAATCACCTCCAGAAAGCCCAGCTCCCAAGCACCATCATCTCTGGGGCTTAGGATTTCAACATACGGATTTGGGGGTGGACGCAAACATTCGGACCGGAGCGCCCGTCCTTACGTACGTTCCTGCGCTCAATGCTGTGCCCTGTCCCCGGTGCCCGACTCCAAGCCCAGCTCCTCTTAGGCATTACCTTCCTACCGAGTAGGTTCTTCTAGTCCATCCTCCTGGGCTTTCCCTCAGGTGAGGCGAGGTGCCTGTTCTCTGTGCTCCATCATGGTCTCTCCAGACTCTCCTCACCTCCCCACGCTGAGGACTGCTGACCTCTGTGTCTCTCTCTCCTCCAGCCTGGAAGCTCCATGAGGGCAGCCACTCTGCCCTTTTCATGCCTTTCCGAGAGGCAATTTACACGCTAGCCGAGAGCAAAGTTGACCCTTACCTACTGGGTGACCCCAGCAGTCTCTCTGTCCAGTTACCTCATCTGGAAACTTGGGATAATGGTCCTGACCTCTTGGAGGTATTTTGAGATTTAAATAATACATTTAAAGTACTAGGAGAGGGGCTCCTGGGTGGCTCAGTCGGTTAAGCGGCTGGCTCTTGATTTCAGTCCAGGTCACAATCTCACGGTTTGTGGGTTCAAGCCCCGTGAACCTGTGTCAGGCTCTGTGCTGATACCGAGAAGCCTGTTTGGGATTCTCTCTCTCCCTCTCTCTCTCTATCTCTGCCCCTCCCTGACTCATGAGCGTGCTTTTTCTCTCTTAAAAATAAATACACTTTAAAATAAAATCTTTTTAAAAATTCATTTCTTGAAAAAATAGATTAGATCACATTACCAAGGGACAGTCTTAACACAATAAAAAAGAACTTTCTAGTAGCCCAACCTCTCCAAAGATGAACGGGGCTCTTTTATACAGTATAGATATCTCCAACCTGGGAAACGGTCAAGTACTGGATGAACCCCGGATGAGGGTGTTAGAGAAGAGGTCCAGCATCCCATGGGGCTTATACCAATGACCTTGAAGGTCATCTCTGACCTTGAAGGTCTTCTCTGACCTTGAAACCTTCTGAATCTTCCTTCAAAATTATTGTCTGCCATCAAGGCGTTGGTTTGTTACTATGCACGTCTGAAGTTGTTCTTAAATTGAAGTAGAAAGTTCACTGCAAAATAAATGACAGATAACAGCCAACCCGGAGTGACACAGAGAGAACAGCAACTTCTACTTAAAAAGGGGACCTAATCTGGCACCAGAAACAAGGGGTCAGGGATTAACTGCTTCAGTTTCCCCATCTGTGAAGTTGCAAAATCATGGCTCAAGCAGTTGTTTTCTAGGATTAAATGGGAGGTCCTGAGTCACGAACAATGTGAGTTAGTAGTTATTAGAGTTCTCCGTTCCAAACGTATCTCCCGCACTTAACTATCTTCCTACATTTCAAAATAAGGGTGGTGGAGGAGGCTGGATGACACTAGAGGTTTAGGTCATTTGTAAATTTAAGAATGAATAAACAGAGGGGCGCCTGGGTGGCTCAGTCGGTTAAGCGACCGACTTCGGCTGGGGTCATGATCTTATGGTTCGTGGGTTCGAGCCCCGCATCGGGCTCTGTGCGGACAGCTCGGAGCCTGGAGCCCGCTTCGGAGTCTGTGTCTCCCTCTCTCTCTGCCCCTCCCCCTGCTCACGCTCTGTCTCACTCTGTCTCTCAAAAATAAATAAATGTAATAATAATGATAATAATAAAAAGAATGACTAAACAGAAAAATCTCTGACACCAGAATTGGTTTCCACCTTGTTGTCCATGGTCTAGTCACTCAAACTAGGAGCGGTTCTGCTCTTGTTATTGTGTTAAATACTCCAGCTTTCATCAACCGGGGGAAATATAATGAGCAGAACCCACGTCCACATTTTTTTAAATGTTTATTTTTGGAAGAGAGAGTGAGAAAGCAGAGGAGGGGCAGAGAGAGAGGGAGACAGAGGATCTGAAGCGGGTTCTGCGCTGACAGCAGAGAGCCCAATGCAGGGCTTGAATCCACAAACTGTGAGATCATGACCTGAGTCGAAGCCAGAAGCTTAACCGATTAAGCCACCTAGACACCCCCACACATCCACATTTTAATCATTAACAATAAAAACCATCTGAAATGACTTTAAGGGGCACCTGGATGGCTCAGTCATTTGAGCCTCTGACTTCAGCTCAGGTCACGATCTCGCGGTTCATGAGTTCGAGTCCCACATCAGATTGTCTGCTGTTGGTGCAAAACCTGCTTCAGATCCTCTGTCCCCCTCTGTCTCGGCCTCCCTCCTGCCCCGCTTGCACACTCTCTCTCTCAAAATATAAACATTAAAAAAAAAAAAAAAAGATCTTAAAATCCCACGTATGTAAAAAGGAAAAAGAGGCTCTTGTGGGTAATAGCTCAGGACTCTTCTAATGTCTGTCCCAATCTCTGAGAAATAAAATTATGACTGATGGAGGCTCAAGGGAATGTGGTTGTTTTAGGATGACCCTGTAGGCACCTGTTTCACGCAAGGCGATGTATTGGGCGTAAACGTGGAACCTGAAGAGAAAGAACGCCTTCCCTTCCTGAAAGCAGGTCTCTATCCTTTCCTGCGGCCGTGGCAATCAGCTGATGCCACCATTAACGCCACCGTCATCTCGTTCAAGTAACTAGCTCTCCGGGAAAGGGCATTCGGCCGCCTTCATCTGGCACTGGCTTTGAGAAAACGAGGATTTGTCTTTGCCAACAAGAATAAGGATCAACCTGATGGAGAAAACAGAACCGGCACCTGCTGCTCTTAGGCTGCAAAATGGAAAACGCCTCTTCTGAGGAAAGGACACGTAGCCACAGATTACAAAGCAGGCAGGGTTCGCACAAAAGCACCAGAGGACGACGGACAGTTGACAAGTTAAGATGTGACGTCAGGGGTGCTAAGTGCCGGGAGGAGAGATACCGCTGGGTAAAGAAGCAGAGAGAGGGGCCCCGGGGTGGCTCAGTCAGTTAAGTATCCGATGTTGGCTCAGGTCATGATCTCGTGGTCTGTGGGTTCGAGCCCCACGTCGGGCTCTGGGCTGACAGCTCGGAGCCTGGAGCCCCTTTTGGATTCTGTGTCTCCCTCTCTCTCTCTGCCCTCCCCTGCTTGTGCTGTCTCTCCCTCCTTAAAAAATAAACGTTAAAAAATTAAAAAGTAAATAAATAAAAAAGAAAAAGGAGCGGAGAGAGGCCAGTGGGTGTGCACTGTTGGGTCAGAGCAAGGTGACCTGGAAAGGCTCTCTGAGGAAGTGACTTTTGAACAAACCAGAGAGAAAGGAAAAGGCCCTCGTGGAAATAATAACCGAGGGAAGGGCATGCCAAGTAGAGGGAACAGCCAGTGGCAGGCCCTGAGAAAGGCATGCGAACAGGGCGCCACAGGAACTGGGGGGCAAGGGAAATGAGGCAGGACACGAGGCTGGTGAGGTGACAGGAATGTGGGGAGGGAAGGTCTGCTGGGGTCTCACGGCTATCGAAACACACACCCTTCTGTTCGCCTTGGCCAAGTCTCTTCTAATACAACTGATATTGTCATGTTGCTTCGACGGTGTCTTATTCAGAGGGAAGCGAGAGTCTGGGCTTTGAAAATGTCCCACCGTGATGACAGCACTGCCCGGATCCCAAACAAGTCCGCGGCTCCTTGAAGGCAGACCAGCTCCCCGCTAAGAAGAGATGCCGAGGAATGTCACTGTCACCATGCCACCAGAATGACTACGTGGCACGTGTCCCTGCTTCTTGGCGACTTTAACCCAATAGTCAAAGCAGAAGCATCGTTTTGGCCAAGTAGCGGCCATTCTGTGCCTGCCGTTCGGCTGCTGGGGGTCAGGGAGGGGGACCTTCAGGCTTCCAGAGTAAGGAGCGAAGACCCATCTCTGGCAAAGACTCGAGCCACGGTAGCCTCCCCCACCCTGGAAAGAGGTCAGATGGCGAACCGACAAAGCCAAGATAAATGCCCATTATCCCGACTTAGAGACACATCTTCTACCCTTTCCAAGGTAGGGTCATTCCCTTTGTCATATGTGGTTCCGCTTCCTCCTGACTTGTCAGTATCAGGCCACCCTCTCCAGTCAGCAGATCTGTGTTTGCCCTGTTCTTAAGGAAAAAAAAAAAAAAAAGAGAGAAAAAAAATGATGTTTATTATCCAGAAACACCCAATCGAGTTAAACTTGGCTTAACCTGACCTGAAGGTCAGAAAGTTACTCTTGGACTAACCCCACACTTTGTGGAACCGAGTTGGAGGTGTGATACAGTGGACTGGAATTATAGCGTTCCCCTAGATGAGTGCGTCATCTTGCGACGGACTGTGTTTGGAAACAGAACTGCTATGGGAGTATAATTTACGATCATAACTATAAGAAGAGCCCCAGAATAAGCAGCTTGTGATAAAATAGCAAAGCAAATTGAATAATCAGTTGCTTTAAATACCGTGACACATTATAAACGGTGCTGTTTTAGGAGTCACAACTAACCTCGTAAATTGAACTTGGAAAGTAGCAAAGAGTATTTTCTGGGAAACGCTGTTCTGTTTCCTTAGGTAAAAATAACCACTAAGGAAAGGGTATAATTCCAGGATAAACCTGGAGAAGTAATTAGAAAGAAAAAGTAAATGTGGAATCCAAAGTGCCCTGCTGCAGCGAACAGCCAGCCTATAAGGGGACAAAATGCGTGTAGGCAATGGAACAAGTACAAAGCGCGCATTTCTGAAAGCTTGTGCGAGGCGTCTGATCGTTATAATGTTCCCGTACCCCAGATCCATCGTGCATACTTCTCTGTCCTGCTCTGTGCCCAGCACACTGATATTCCGGGTTACTGGGGCTTGTCTTCTAGACTGGCTTTGGCCAGTGGGAGGTGATGGCAGGAAATCTCTGAGTGGGTGGCAACGAGCTTCCCTCTAATTTCCATCCCACACCCTCCTCGCTTCACCGTGGCTCTAGGCCCGGCCCTGCTCGGCAGGCCTGGGGCTGATAAGGGCTCCCCACCATTGCTAAGTCCCGGGGTGCCTCCAGGCCCCACCTTCTGCGATAATCCCTTCCTTAATTTCTTTGAAGTTAAACCTTTCTTAGTGTGCTATTTGTGTCCTGCTAAGAGCCTAATTCATAAAGGATCTAATGCTAGGCACTCCCAGATCTACCTTTCCAATAAAGATAGTGAACAGAAATGAGCAAACCCCCAGAAAAACATAGGCTGAGGACAGCTTTATCATCCACTGTATTGAGTCTACTAAAATGTTCATCAAAATCTGCCAGGACAGTAGGAGGGAGAAACAGATGTGAAAAGAGAATGTTCTGTTTTATAGGGAAAACTAGCAGTAGTCAAGTTTCAGATTCAGCCTCTTAGCCAAATCGTGTGGACCAAGGCTGGACTATTCAAAATAGGAGGTTTGGGGGCGACGGTGACAATGGAAATACAACTGGCTAGTCCAGAAGCTTCTGGCGAAGAAAGAGAGGCTCTTTGCAAAGATCTAAGTGCACACTGTCCTATCCCAAAAGTTGACAATGAACTCTGTAGGGATAGGAGGTTCAGAAACTCGAAGTACACAAGGAGATTCAAGGGTCCATTTAAGCAAAGAATGAAATCGGGCAGATAGGAGCCAAGTTTTTAAGGTAACAAACTCTAGGTTCCTTATTTAGAAAACGTACACTTAGAATGAAGAGCTCCAATATGGGACCCTGATGGCTTCTGATCACCAAGGGGAGCGTGTTTTGGTGTAACATTTATAAATGGTACAAGCAGCATTCCACAGTTAGCACATCCCTCTTTATTTTCAGACCATTCTTTGGATAGTTCAATGGTTCCAGTACGTCATATTTTATTTTACGAAGTTCTCCAACTGTATTTTCTTCCACACACGCTCCCCCCCCACCCCCACCCCTTCTGCTTGGGCTTCTTAAAAAAAAAAGAAGGTGCCTGGGTGGCTCAGTCGGTTGAGTATTCAACTCTTGGTTTGGGTTCAGGTCATGATCCCAATGTCGTGGGATGGACCTCCACCTCGTGCTCCTCGCAGCATGTGGAGCCTGCTTGGGATTCTCTCTCTCCCTCTGCCCCTCTAGATCCCCGCTCTCTCTCTCTCTCTAAAACAAAAGACCAGTGCTCACAGCATGATGAATATAGTACCATGAAATAATATATTTACCTTGGCCAAAGTTTCCAACAGTAAATTTCCCTGTTGGTCAAAGACCCTGGGACAGCACTCACTAGCCCTCTGACCTGGAGAAGCGCCCACCGGAGCTTCGGGGCGGAACAGTTGTTCTTTGGAATACTTCCTGGAGCAGGAGCCAAGAATTGGCAGAGAATGTGTTTGGGAGGAAGAAGTGGTCTACGCCAGGAAGTCTGAGCAGATGTCTTCCTTTCATTTTATTAGTCTTCATCACCTTGTTGGCATTCTTCTTTATGCATTACTGTTACTCAATTACTGATAAAATAAAATCGTCCAACAAAAACATACCTTGTGTGTATATCTAGAGTGCAAACTTTCCCATAACCAGCTGTCATTTTGACTTCCGTATTTCTTTTTAAGTAATCTAAACCTCAAAAGAAAGAAGTCTGGTTCCCTCTTTTGTGTTCCACGGCACGGAATCCTCTCTTGGTACCACTTCCAAAACGCCACCTATAAGCACAGCTCCTTTCCAGGCCGACCTTCCCACCCTGGGCTGAGTCCTCATGACGATGGCTGGGTCGACACCATGCCTATACCGATTTAAACGTTGGTCCTTGATGGCCATTTATGCTGCCCAAATATGTGCAGCCTCCTCTTCTGGGCGCTTGGTAGGAGGGTACTCCCAGCCTCCTTGTGAGGAGGTGGGAACACGTGACTGGTTTTGGCCAATGAGCTGTGAAGAATAACATCTATCACTTCTGGGCCACAGCATTTCATCGCACGTTTCCTTTGCCACGGGAACCAGCAACTTTTGTGACAGAGGGATAAGGGGACAAGATTTGGAGCAATGTCTCCAGTCAACCCACAACAAACATCCAAGGTGACCAAGAAACCAGCCTTGCTGTTTTAAATTTTCTTTAATGTTTTTATTTTTGAAGGAGAGAGCCAGAGCATGAGCGGGGGAGCAGCAGACAGAGAGGGAGACAGAGAGTTCGAGAGCGTGAGCGGGGGAGCAGCAGACAGAGAGGGAGACAGAGAGTTCGAAGCAGCCTCCAGGCTCCGAGCTGTCAGCACAGAGCCCGATACGGGGCTCGAACTCAGAAACTGTGAGATTGTGGCCTGAGCCGAAGTCGGACGCTTAACCGACTGAGCCACCCAGGCGCCCCAAGCCTTGCTGTTTTAAGACATTGAGAGTTAGGGTTGTAACCACAGCATAATCTAACCTATCGTGGTTGAAACACCCCTCCACCATCCATCCTAAACACGGCCACCGACCAGTCTGGGTATACCACTCCCCTGTCCAAATATCCGTTATCTGAGTACAAACCCCTCAATCTATCATTCAAGGCTCTTTACAAGTTGGCCTGAGCCTATCCTGTAAGCCTCAGCTCCACCTCCCCACCCAAGAGAGGAGACGGGCTTCCTAAGAATTCACGGAGCACGCCCCAGTTTCTGCCTTTGGTCTGAATATGCCCCGTTTCCCAGATGCTCGCATCCACCGCCCTATCCAGGTCTACCGCCAAGGAAGAATGGGTGCAACTCACGAGTCCCACCGTGGGCTTCTGTTCAGCACATACACCATGTTACCCCCAAGTACTCACGTCTTCTGTTAATGGCTAAGAATTGTCCACAGAGGCCCTTCCCAATTCCGCTCCCTCTTCCTGGAACTCCTAGGAGTCTTGTTATTTTGTCCTTCTGGACTTCGAAGCTCGTCCGTACGTTCCACCTCCTTACCTGTGTGCTGTATTCCAGGTCATTTCTTCACGACCGGTCTTCCAGCTCACCAGGCCGCTCTCCAGGTGCATCAACCAGGCTCCCTCCCGTGGCTACAGCCCTGTGTGCTGGGTTACTCTGGATCTCTACTGCTTTTTCCTTTTGGATCTCAGGGCATTTTTCGAAACTTTCTTGGATGCTCAGCTAGGCATTTAGAGATGCTAACTTTACATTAGCAAGCATTTCTGGGGGATTTAAGAGTAGAGAGACTTCCGGTTTCTCTTATAAAAGCCAGATAGCGCCACAAACAAAAATTCTAGTGTCGTGTTTCGCACATACTTTTTATTGTTCAGTAAATGAATATTTGTCAATATGTACATAAACACAGAGAGCGAGCGCTAAGATTTCGAGCAAGAGCGTCTGGGTTCTAATACGCAAAGCCACTTACCAGCTGTGAGGGCTCAGGCAAAGAACGGAATCGGAGCTCAGCTTCCTCAACTGTAAAACTAGACCATTAAGACCCGTGCGGCCCACCGCACAGGTTTATTGCAAGGTTCAAATGCAGAAACACATGAAAGTGCTATGAATACACCTTAGAGCAATACAAGTATAAATAGAACAAGTAACAGCAATTGAATTTCAAGCGTGGGAATACTTAATCACGCCCTTGCGTTACACCCACGAAATCGATGGCAGTCAACGAGAAAGCGACAAAAGAGCTGAGCGCTAACGAGAACGCACGTGCCATTCTCCGGAGGGGGAAAGAGTTCTGCAACATCCTGTAGTCCTGTCCCTGCGACTACTCGCTTCCTAAACTTCACGAAGATGTCAGAGACCCACCATCAATGACTCTCTCACAGAAGCACAAGGGCCAATGTCCCACGTTTATTTACATACGAAATGTGTTTAATACAGTTATGACGGATGTAGTGCGTAACAGCGGACAGCGCCGAGACCTTCCGAGGAACCGAACGTTGACTACAGCGTATCATGCAAGTGCCTATATATACACAAAACGGAATTCCTTTTTCGTAAAAATAAAAAGTACAAAACGTGTTCCGGGATAAATACAAGGTATAAAATGCCAAAGAAAACACAGAAACGAAAACTGAAAAATAGGAACGCTCCCAGAGAACTATAAACGGAAGGGACAGAGGAGTGCCCACCCCTGCTGTGCTTTGATAAAGCGGAACTACTAATATTAAAGAGACTTATTGAAATGACCGAACTGAGGCCGGGCGGCTCAGCGCGTGACCGAGCGGCCGATCGCGACACGCGGGTTGCTGCATTGATAGGTCGGAGGTGGAGTTGTGCATCTCAACTCCAAGTACCAGAACGTTTGGCAGTAGCACCCCAGAACAGGAAACGCCAGCTCTTTCGACGGCAAAGGGTTCAGAAGGGTTAAGTCAACTGGGAGTTTTTTTTTTCTTTGTTCCTGTCAAGAGCCAGAGAAATACTTGATATTTTTAGTTGTGTCTTCGTAGGAGTTAATAAATTCCATGGCAAAAACTCGACTATCTAAATCTACTGGTCTAGCTACATATGTGTCACTGTTACAGTAGTCCAGCCCTTGGGTGACTTGATCTCCTTGTGTTCTTTCAGCCAGCCTTGCAGATCGGCCCAGAAAAAACCCCAGCCCCTGGTTTTCCCCTGGCAACGCCCTTCTTCCCCGTTCCGGAATGGAGCGGAGGATAATCCATGCGCTTTACTGTAGAGGCCTGGCCTACGTTTTGATCCATCACTGGGAAGGAAGCTACCTGCAGGCTGCTTTAAACACGGTCGGGCGTGGCCTGGAAGAAGATGCCAGACGCCGGAGTGCGGTCGCCCGGGACAGGTGCACTCGCCGGCTTAGAGCAGGCACGTTGAGGGTAGTGCTAAGACACTTAAAAGTCCCTAGTGTTTTTGAGACCCACAATACCTACAATTTATATAGTGAATTCTAAAAATTAAAAACACTAAAAAAGGCATTATCTTAGCCTGCAATTAGTTAACCCATTCAAATCTGTAACATACAAAATGGTTTATTTGAATTCAGGAACTGCCCCTGTTGCTAAGAACTCTGTGTTTAAAGAAACAGTACAAAAAGAAAAAGTCTAACCCCCCAAAAAAACCAAAAAACAAAAAACAAAACCCAAGGAACAAACAAACAAACAAACAAAAAAACCAAAGACCGAGAAAAGAAAACCTCAAAACATTTTTTCACTAAATACTGATACAAACATGTAACAAAGAGTATAAAAAGTTATTCATTTAAATATATACAAACTCTTTGAAACTCAAATACTGTTTTCATACTTATCGAGGAGGATATACACGACCAGGTGGAGAAGGTACACTGGAAGAGAATATATTGCAACAGCCTAGACAGTACTGTTAACTCTATTATACTGCAAACTTTTTGTAACAAAAATGTCTCTTTTATTCCAATGTGGACAGGGATTCTCCTTACAGGAAGGTCTGTGGCTATTTCTCGGCCGAACTCACTCTTTTGGATTTAATGAAGGCCATGCCGTGTGTCCGCATGTGGGCGTTTAAGGCAGCTTCAGTCTCGAACGTCTTTGCGCACACCTTGCACTTCCGGTCTGACACCGCGCCGTCGGGCGCCTCGTCCTCGCGGCTGGGCTTGTTCTCCTGCTGGTTCTCCTCCCCGGCCCCGTTCTGCTTGGACACCGGCTGCGGCTCCTTCAGCTTGTGCACGATGAACAGGTGCCTGGACAGCGACACGTGCGACGTGTAGCAGAGGCCGCACTCGCGGCACTGGTAGGAGGAGCCGTCTGACTTGTGCTGAGGGATGTGTTCGTGGAACTGCAGCAGGTTTTCGGTGGTGAAGCCGCACACGGCACACTTGTGAACCTTGAACACGTTGATCTTCAGCTTCTTCAGCGGCTGGGTGATCGCCCCTCTGGGCGGTCTGAACTCCAGCACGGGTTCTTCCAACTTGCGCTTGGGACTGGGAACCTTGGAGGGAAGAGAACAACGTGGACGACACGCGTGAAAATCGCTCTGCCCCGCGGGTGACAAACCACCAGTTCTCCCAGGCCCCGAGAGCTGCTGGGACAAGTGGTGTGAGCTTCGGGATTCGGGGGCTCCCACAGCGGCCCCAGGAAAGCAACGCGGGGCATGGAATGGGGGGTGGGAAGCAGAGGGGGCGGGGTTGTTAGGTTGCAAGGCACAGTCAGAGATGGCCTCGGGGTGGGTGACGTTTGCACAGCGGCCCGCTGGCAGTGAGGACGGGCGTCCAGGGGGGCGGGGGAGCCGAGGCGGGAGGCAGCCTGGGGGACAGAAGGGAGGCCAGGGGGCTGCAGCCGTGACCAGGTGGTGTGGACAGGAGGCAGGGGGCGGGGCAGAGAAAAGGTCAGGACTTTGCCTTTCCTGAGGCTGGGATGGAGAGCTGCTAGACGCCCAGCTGGTCTGGGAGCCGAGCTTTCCCGAACACTCACCTTCGCCACACGGCTGACCCGCAGGCCATGCTCTTCCCCTCCCGCTCCCATCTGCCTAAATCTGAGCCACATGAAATCCCCTCGTTTCCAGCTGGCCAGAAGTCCAAGCCAGAGGGACACCCCCTCCTGCCCGCTCTGCGGCCCACCTCTTCTCTGTCCTTTTGACAGGGCACCACTCATACACGGCCTTGACCTGGAGCTGCCTCCTGCACGTACAGCCTTTAATTCCACCCCCACCCCCACCCCCACCACTGGAGGGGAAAAGATTACAAACTAACGAGACACTAGTCTGACTCGTATTCTGATTAGGCTTTACTCAGTGATCAGCTCCCCCATCGCGCACACTTGGGCTGTAACCCAGGCACATTCCAGACACAGCCCAGTGCCAAAGCCAGCAGAGAGATCTCCTAAGTGTCTGCCGAACTGCTTGCTGCCTCTCCGATCGCGCTTGCCACACACACGCCTAACACACACGTTAACGGTCATACTGCTGGTTCAAGTTCGCTAGCCACTGACCTAAGAAATAAGGCAGAGATGTATGGTTTTATCTTTTACCATCGTGAAGCGAAACCAAGGAGAACCCCTTCATTTTTACCTGGTACCTTTCACAACCAACATACTGCCAACCAGAAAAGCATCTAGCTTTCTACATTATGGCTAAGAGCCAACTGATGAGCGTCCACAGAAAATTTTATCATTTCTGTACACAAGTAGATCCCTCAAGCTGCTTCTGGAAAGATGTAGAAGAAACTTAATACCTTTTAGGGGCAAGATGAAAGATAAGAATGGGTGTACGGGGAGCTGACCTATTGTTTTATAAGCTTTGCGCACAGTCCTGGGTAACTGCGGCGAAACTTAAACGAAGAGAGTGAACGGAAAAAGCAAGTCAACACAATTTCACTGTAAACAGAACATTTGCCATGTTTGACCTTGGCATCTTCTTTTATTTCTGTTTCCTCCTCGTTGGTGGCTTCTGTCATTTCTTTCAAGTCAGGATCCTTGATTCCGTGCATGAGTTGGATATGTTTCTCCAGCATCAACCGTTTCGTAAAGGTGCGCCTAGAGTCTGGGCAGTGCCTGTGGGGCAAAGACAAGGAGGTAACCTGCCTGCTGAAAAGTACCCCACGCTGAAGAACACCCTCTCTACCGAAGGGGCCTTCGCCAGCCAACACTACGCTCAGCAGGGTCAAGATGATCTGTGTGAGGGGCGCCTGGGTACCTCGGTAGGTTAAGCGTCCCACTTCAGGTCAGGTCACGATCTCACGGCTCGTGAGTTTGAGCCCCACGTGGGGCTCGGTGTTGACGGCCAGCGCAGAGCCTGCTTGGGACCCTCTCTCCACCCCCCTCCGCCCCTCCCCCACTCTTTCTCTCAAAAGGAAAGAAAGGAACTTAAACGAACAAACAAAGATCTTTGCGAATACCGGTGGCCCAAAATGAAACAGTAGTTCTGCCATGAACTGCAGTTTCCAGCGTGTGAGAAAAATTTTTGCGGTTTCTGTAGAAAGCTTTCTGTCGGTTTTGGCGTCTCGGTAGGATCAGCCTAATTCAGTTTGGCTGGGGTGTTTACTTATTCTCTAGATCTGGTTAAAGTATTACTTCATTTAGAATTCTAGGTGACTTTCATTTTTAAATTGAGGGTATCGAATTTCAGAAGTTTTCTTTACAATGACTCCGTGTTCCCTCAAAATTTACGGCATAAGAGATACTTTAATATGGAAAAAGTCCCTCCCGGATTCCTTCATGTGGATGTTAATTATTCCTGTCCACTCCGCCATAACAAAGAGAAGACAGGGTGTGTGGCCCTGTTAAATTCCTCACCAGGGCACAAACTCGGTATCACAGCACTGAAATTCATGTGATCATTCAGTTGACTGAAATGTAGAAAACTCAACAGATAGCCACTATAGGTCAATCTTTTAAGTTTTCATTTCATCTCTGGGGGGGGGGGGACCCAAACCTGTCGATTATGAATAGTTTTTCTTTAGAAGATATGAATTCGCCATTTTCTTAATGCAATGGACCAAAAACAGGTTTAGGGAAAAAAAAAGAAAGAGAAGTGAATGACCGTGGTGACTATAGGTGCCATAAGGCAGACATCAAGAATCCACTGCAGTGAAGGAGGGTGAAAATACCTCATGGTCTTACGCAGAATCAAATTTACTGCCTTCAAAAAGCCTTCTGGAGATGTTGTAATGATTGGCCCCACACCCTGATAATTTCGTGTTAGAGACTCCCCCCTCCCCGGCAGGGGCAGCCCTGGGAGCCCGTGCCAACCCCGCACCACAAAGGAAATCGGCCAGACGATCCGAGCATCTTACTGCCTTACGGTGTCTCCAGGGAGAAATACACAAAACCCGTCCGAGGAGGAAGGACTAAGCCACGCCAGACTCCCTTCCTACCTTCTTCTCAACCAGGGCCTCCTTCTAAGTCCTCCCATCCTTCCGGCGCAGTCTCAAACATGCAGGCCTGATTCACAGAATGTTCTCACCTCACCAAAATCACTCCCGGCTTTAATTTCACTGCAGGAGTTGTCTACGTCCCGGTTTTCCTACCCGAGCAACTTTCCCTAACTAATCAAGAATAGTGAAGCCTTGAGGAACAGACAGCCAACCATCACGCGTGTCCTGAGACACACGGTCCTCTGTGCCCTGCTTTGATCATGTCACACGCTACGTGCTGGCTACATGGCTTCTGTGTCTGTTAGTTCTCTCCCTGTTACGAGAAGTGCCTTAAAGTAAGTAAGCCTGTTACCAGCTCACTTGAGGCATGTTCTGGTTGAGTGGGTGATAAAGCTTTTTCAGTAACGATATAACAAGTTCCGATTTTCATATCCAAAGAGGTAGCTCAGGACTGTCCAGAGTGGCATCACCACCCACTCGATGTGTTGGCCTACTCCATTCCTTGAGTTTGACCTCTGAGCCAAATGTGTGCGCTGGGAAAAGGCTGCCCCTGCATTAGGGAAAACAGGCCGGCCTAGGACAGAGTCCCCGACCGGGCCCCATCAGGGTCTGCTCTGAACCAGTCAACTGGACAATCAACCTGCCAATCAAAGCTGGCAAATCCCTGCGCTTATAGAGACCAAAAAGCATCTCATTCACCTGTGCACCTGCAAAGCAACCACTTCTCCAAAACGCTCAGGTATATAAAATCTATCCCTCTGGACAACAGGTAAGGACCCAGGAACGTACACAGGGTATGCCAGAAACTCCTGTTTATTTTACTATTTTTAAGTGTTATGGCCCAGTCAAGAAACTGTTATGTCGCAACAATGGAACAGCACTAAAAAGTGAAATCTATAACCTGCAGCACAGAAATGGAGCGTTAATGGCAAAATATGAAAAGCCGTAGAAAAGTTCCAGCATTATCCTTTTACCGTGCTTCGCACGTTAGAAATGAGGACTTACGAGCAGGTGTAAACTTTCCTGATGCCTTTGTGCTTGATCCGATTGTGACGGCACAGGCTGTGTGAGGAGCTGAAAGATTTGTCACACTGGCGGCAAGGGTGTTTTTTCATTTGCTTTGTTAGGAGAAAAGAGATAGAAAGTCACTTAAGAGAACAAAAACAGAACTGCTTTAAAAATTAAGAACTCTTTCGTAACAGTTGGCGTTACATAATCCTCACTGCTTCGCAATACAAAGACAAAACTAACAGATTCTTCTTAATACATAGTAAAAAGGAAGGGCAGGGGTGGGGTAACCGTGAAGGGACTAATTTCTGGAGAATCGGAGAAACGTGATGAGAGTAAAATATTAAATATTTTTCTCAAAACACTTATGGTTTTGACTCAACACAAACCCCCAGATATCTGAAAACATAAAATTTCTTTGCAAAAGAGATACAGCTGTTATTTTTAAATAGCAGATACAAGGGGCGCCTGGGTGTCTTAGCTGGTTGAGCGTCAGACTCTTAATTCTGGCTCGGATCATGTCAGTTGTGAGCTTGGGCCCCGCGCGCTGGGCATGGAGACTGCCAGAGACTCTCTCTCCCTCTGCCCCTCCCCTGGCTGTGATATAAACAAATAAACAAACAGCTAGCAGATACTATACAAAAACATAATTCTTCAGTGAACACCAAATAAAACCATTACTTACTTTGGTACATCCAGAGAGAATGTTAACTTGTCCAATATGCCCTTTTAAATGAAATCTCGAGCTAATTTTAAGCATTTTGACTGTCCCCCCCCAATGATTAAGTAACTGTTCCTTACATAAGGGAAGAGTTTTCCAAAAGGCCCCTTGAATACTACCATTTGGTTATTTCAAGAACGCACAAGTTGGAAAGCACTTTATGTAGTCTGCCATTAGAATACACGGCCCGTGTGTATGAGGGTCGGGGGACAGTGACAGAGCAGGAGAAAGCTATCAAGAGATGAAAACCAAAGTTAAAAGTTTCCTAACTTGGCTACGACATGATTATGTGAATTCAACACATTCTCACGTGGACCCTTGGAAGTAAGACTAGTGGCTTAACCTAAAAGCACGTTCTTTGGGTACAAGATGCACTGAAGTCTCGAATGAAACGGTGTCGTATCACAAGGAAATCCGATCAAGAAATAACTGCCAGCCTCATGGATAGAACAAAATTTGGCAAAATTAAAAATAGGGTTGAAGTAAAAAACAAGTTCTCATGTGAAATAACATTACTATTTATGGCAAGAAGAAGAGATAAGCAAAGCAACTGTGGGCTAAGTGGTTAAAGAAAGGATACAATTTTTTTTTTTTGGAAGTTTTATTTACTTATTTCTGAGAGAGAGACAGAGACATCCTGAGCGGGAGAGGGGCAGAGAGAGAGAATCCCAGGCAGGCTCCGTGCTGCCAGCACAGAGCCCGATGCAGGATGAGAACCCACGAAACCGTGAGATCATGACCTGAGCTGAAACCAAGAGTCGGACGCTTAACTAACTGAGCCACCCAGGAGCCCGGAAAGAATAAATATTTTAAATAATTGTTTTTATATTAATCACTTGACAAATATGCCCCTTGTTCAAACTGGTAAGCAAATCTATTTAGGTGATTGGGTTTGGCTCTGGAGAACCAGAAATGGGTTGGCACCTTGTCTCTACCACTCATGCATCGAACCGTATGACCCTGGGAAAGTGTCTCCATAAACATCCAGTCCCCAAACTGTAGGGTGGGGATCACAACAGTGCCTTCCTCAGAGAGTGCTGGGGTAAGAAAGGGCCGGTGGTGAATTAGTCAGCACAGTGCTTGGGACACAGAGAAATCCTCAAAAAATATTCTTTTCTGAATAACAATAAAATATCCAAATTCATTTTAAGAGAGCCGAAAATACTATCTTTTAAATAAAACACATCAGTCTGTTAAGTGTTTAAAAACCTAGGCAGAAGCAAAGGAGGACATTTCTTCTCCGTGCCAAAGCATTGCTTTTATCATTTTCCTGAGCATATAATCTGGGATATTATGAAAATAATGTCTGTGAGGGAGGGAGGGAGGGAGGGAGGGAAGGAGAGAGAGAGAGAGAGAGAGAACAGAGCAAATAACCAACGAATGCCTCTGAGCCACACTCTTCTCCCAAAGGTATTCCTTCATAAACATCTTGATCACATAACATAGACAATTCCCTAGAGTCTTGGATTAGCATTTATGAAACCAGAGAATAAGAGCTTTCTTTTTTGTTTGTTTTTGAGAGAGAGAGAGAGAGAGAGAGAGAGAGAGAGAGAGAGAGCATGATAGGAGGAGGGGCAGAGAGAGAGGGAGACACAGAATCTGAAGCAGGCTCCAGGCTCCGAGATGTCAGCACAGAGCCCAGCCTGGGGCTCGAACTTACAAACCACGAGATCAAGACCTGAGCCGAAGTCGGACGCTTAACCGACTGAGCCACCCAGGTACCCCAAGAGGTTTCTTTAGAATAAAAAGCTTTAAGAACAGTCACGGAAGTCCTACGTACATAAGTCTAATGTCCAATTCCTACTGAGTTTTATACGTAGAAGATGGACAATGTTAAGATCACCCAGAAGAGTCAAAACACAAGGCATTTTTCTAAAAGCGAGAAGGTTGTAGCAAATCATCATAAAACATGTAGAGAACGGACATACATCTTTTTAACTATATAACAAAGGCAAGAGGCTTCAGAGGAATGCAAACTGGGTTTTCCATTAAGATGAAGAATTTAAAATTCCATTTCTTGTTATGGTATCATCATGTTAATGTTAAATTAAAAAAATCTTTTTCAGATTTTATTTGTTTAAGTAATCTCTATACCCATCGTGGGGCTCAAACTCACAACCCCGAGATCAAGAGTCCCCATGCTCCACTGACTGGGCCAGCCAGATGCCCCCAAATCAAAATTTTAATAGAGAAATATCAATAAAGAAATCCTCAGTAGGTAATAAATTAAATGAGCAGCTCGGCTGAATCAATAATTACTGTTTTCAAAAAGAACTGACAACGGGTGAGATATTCTTTTCCAGCGTCTTTATGAAAAAATGCAGAAACGAGCAGTGAAATCCCCAAACAATGGAGCAGGGTTTCAAAATCACTGGTGACAGGAATATTACAGGTTTACACACCAGCTTCCTGATCAAACCTGCCGTGTTCCCATTACCTAAGAAAACAAGTGACTCCCTTCTTTGTTCAGTTTTAAATACTAACTTATTTAAAGGGGCTTTACCTAATTTATTTTCGTAACTTTTATCTTCAGTGTTGTAATAGCTCCCACGGCCACTTTCTGACGCAGAAAGCAATTTTTTCCAACCAAACAAAAGTGGAAACAACGGTATCGAAAAAGCGTCAAGTGCCATTGTCCTTCTGTTTGTCAAGGTCATTTACTTCCTCCTGGCCCCAGTGTAGCGCAAGCTGATACTGAAGGAACTTGGGCCTTGCGTGGGCTTTTTGTAGTTGGGTTTTCCCGCTCAATGAGGAGATATTTTGTTTTTAAAGAGAGCTCTTTAAAAAAACGGTGGACGAATAAGCTGGCAGGGTCTGAGTATTTTTGGAAACTTTAAATGTCCGTGAAACAAATACCTGGGTGCATTTCCTACACTTTCTCCCTGATTTCCCATTTTTGCCTCTCTTACCTTCACATTCTTTAGGAAAGCAGTGGTTTCTCTTAGCAAATTCCTTTGCTCTGCGTGCCCTAGCCTTGGGCTCAAGGTCTGAGCTCTGGGATTTCCAAGGCCCCTGAAGGCCATTCTTTCTGGATGGCACTTGGTGAATGTGTTTTGGATCGCCATGGGCTCTCACAACCAGACACTGCCCATTCTGGTAACTAGTCCCTTCTTGTCTCTTGGCTTGAAGCCCTCTTTCTGTTTCAGGTGACCCTGAAGAAGTCAGAGGGAGAAAAGTCCCCACCTCAGACATTCCTGCCTCCATGAGGTTCTCTGCCTCCCACCAATATGTGAAGAGCTTCCTTAATTACCATCACACATCCAGAATCACCCACACATTTAGGATGAACAAGAGTGGTATTATTCCCAAGTCGTGCTGACACATACCCTTCAGCTCGATTGTAAACACTTTCTGTGAAAAAGGAAAAACCAACCACCTGTATAGACTTCAACCTGTGCCAACAGTGATCCCACAGGATATAACTCCTAAAACTCTGGACCTTTCCACGTGGGAATCTATTCTACAGATACACCCGCACACGGCATGGTCAGTCCTGTACAATGTGATAAACATGTATCATGGGTCACAAATCACTACAATAAGCGAAATCATGCAACAAAGAACCACAGGGCTTCCAGCAAAAACGCAGTTAAGGGCCTAACACCCGAAAACTATTGGTGACGCACTTAACAGCAGGATCCTGTGCAACTGGGTGGGGGAGGGCTGTGGCTTGTTGAGATTCTGTGAGGTGGAAGAAGGAGGGTTACCTGAAATCTGAGGGTCGGAGGGAAGGTGTGACACCAGGGGCAGGCAGCGTGACTCAATGGGGAGGTAAAGTCGCTGACGACAGTCTGACGTGAGTGTGTGCGTGTGTTGTGGATTCCGACACAGGTCCATTCCACGATTTTCTGTGCTCACCGAGTGTCTCTCTCAGGGATGGGGTCACACGTGAGCGAGCTCAGAACCCACATCAAGCTCCGACCGTTCCCTGACAGATCAACCGCGTTAGAACAAATCTGTTTCCAACACGAGCGTTCTAGCAGAACTGACTGTATGGATAAGGTTATTCCGTGCAGCACTGCATATAATGAAAAAGATGGGAAGAATCCGGCCCCGTGAAGGGAGAATTGGCTAAATAAATTATATGTGCTCATAACGGAAGACCTTGAAACACTGATACTAAAGGAACTATTTACTACGTACTACGGGAAGGGACCAGTGCAGAAAATGATGATATCCACAAGCTGTGTTCTGCATTCGAAAGAAGTAAAAAGAGAACATATATGCATGTACGATGATCCTGGCATAAGAGAGACTTCAAGATCCAAAATAACAAACTTAGTGGTGCTGGGTGGGCCAGGGTAGGAATGAGGCTTTTTGCTGTCTTCTTTCATACTATCTAGACTGTTGAACAATGTGAATATAGCCCACACCACCACCAACAAAAAA